GTAGGCGGCAATTTCCTGCCTTAAAAGGGTGTTGTGTGCGCAATATTCCAGCCTTGATAGAAAAAGTGACCTGAGAGTCATCATGGGCTTGGCCTCCCTAGTTTTGAAGGTTCTCATTATCCATCCTGTCATTTTTCTAGCAGATGCGATTGATACAATGTTATGGTCCTTGAAGGTGAGATCCTCCGACATGATCACTCCCAGGTCTTTGACGTTGGTGTTTCGCTCTATTTTGTGGCCAGAATTTGTTTTTGTACTCTGATGAAGATTTAATTTCCTCATGTTACCATATCTGAGTAATTGAAATTTCTCATCGTTGAACTTCATATTGTTTTCTGCAGCCCACTGAAAGATTTGGTTGATGTCCGCCTGGAGCCTTGCAGTGTCTGCAATGGAAGACACTGTCATGCAGATTCGGGTGTCATCTGCAAAGGAAGACACGGTGCTGTGGCTGACATCCTTGTCTATGTCGGATATGAGGATGAGGAACAAGATGGGGGCGAGTACTGTGTCTTGTGGAACAGAGCTTTTCACCGTAGCTGCCTCGGACTTTACTCTGTTGACGACTACTCTCTGTGTTCTGTTAGTGAGGAAATTATAGATCCATCGACCGACTTTTCCTGTTATTCCTTTAGCACGCATTTTGTGCGCTATTACGCCATGGTCACACTTGTCGAAGGCTTTTGCAAAGTCTGTATATATTACATCTGCATTCTCTTTGTCTTCTAGTGCATTTAGGACCTTGTCGTAGTGACTAATGTTTAACACTGAGAACGTTTAAGGGCCATAAACCGAACAGGAGAATACTTCTCAACTTTATTAATGATAAAATAAATAATCTTAGTTATATTGAGGAAACATAAACTCAAGTACCACTTTGAGTACAGCCAACCGATCCTACATTTATTCATCAATAATGCAAAAACAAAACTTGCAATATCCGAGAAACACTAGTTCCAATTTGACCTTGACCTTGATCTGATCTTACATTTCCTTGCCTTCAATCCTGCAAAATCATCTATCACATCATCAAAATCAATAATTTTCCCTATGTAGACCTATTTGTACTCTGTAATCATATAAGAGGCTGTATAGAAACGAAGGATTCTTCTCTTATGTTAGTGCAGCACTGTTTTGTGTATTAGTGTTACCTTCTTTAGAGGCTCTGTGGTGTCACACGGAGCGGTCCGCCTCCCCCCCGCCTTACGACGCCACTGATTGTATGAAATTAATTCGTTCATGGTATATAAAATCTGTGAGGATTTTACGCAGTGTTGACAAATTTCACTGTTTACTGTTAGTCATCTACTGGCCCATATGTGAGATAATCCACTGACTGTACATATAATTAGTTAGGTGCATCTTTGTTCTATGCTGTATTTATTTTTTTGTTAGTTTTATTATTCCTCAATAATGTGAGAGATAACGAAAGCCCCAGGGTGATGTATTTGGACAAGGAAGAGAATGTATGAAAGTATAATGGTACCAACACTTATATGGTGTGATTGCTGCAACAAGAAGACTGGAAACAGTGATGTTGTGTCTGAAAGCATTGTGTGATGTGAATATTATGTAGAGAATTCGTAGCTTGGAAATTAGAAGGTACATGACTACTAAAATTATTATCCGGAGGGCTGAGTAGGGCTTGTTGAGGTGGTTTGGACATTGAAAGGATGTAGCAAAGTAGGATAGCGTGTTTGGTAGGAGTGGAGGCAAATGGTTTTTGGGACTTGACGAGCTGTTGGAGTGTGAGCAAGGTAACATTTTGTAAAGGGTTTCAGGGAAATCGGTTAGCCGCACTTGAGTCCTGGAGGCGGGAAGTACAGTGCTTGTATTCTGAAGGAGAGGTGGGGGATATTTGCGGTTTGGAGGGGCATCTGAACTGTAGTATCACGCGCCTGTGGTAAGACGGTAATGGAATAAATAATGGTGAAAGTGTTTCTTTTTCTGGCCACCCAGCCTAGGTGGGAGGCAGTGTTTATATATAATATAATATATATATATATATATATATATATATATATATATATATATATATATATATTATATATATATATATATATATATATATATAATATATATAAGTAAAACTTGCGATTTTGGCTTAAATAGCAACGCACTTCTTGCCAAATAGGGCAAGCGAAAAATTTGTGTATGCAATAATTTCGCAAAAATCATTCTGAACCTAACGAATATATTTGATTGTGGTTTGTTTATTAATAAATTATTGTGAACTTATCTAAAATATATTTACATACTTGGATTAGGCTAAATTAAATTGTGCTTGTTATAATAAGGTTAGGTAAATTTTCTAAGCTTCTTTTGGTACAAAATTATTAATTTTTACACACACACACACACACACACACACACACACACACACACACACACACACACACACACACACACACACACACACACATATATATATATATATATATATATATATAATATATATATATATTATATATATATATATATATATATAAATCAAGTGTTTGTATGTATTTTAGTAAAGAACATATATGCCTAATATACTTTTTTTTCCAGTCGGCATAGCATGATTTTAAATGATTGTTGATATCATTAAAAGGCATTGTAATAAGAGCTATTACCATTGGTTACATTTTATGTTTTAATGAGAGTGTCTTACAGTGAACCGTTACCGCTACAAGTTGAAACCTCTGAGCTTGAGACTGAGGAGCTGTGAAGCCTACGACGCAGAGCAGCAGCTCAGGCAAGACTACATCAACGCGACCGTAGTTAATGTAAGTCCTACACTAATGTAACTACTACAGTAATTTAACTCTTGGGGGGAAAGGGGTCTCCGGGATGTTAAAGAGCTAAAGAACTGAAGCTTGCCTGTCCTTCCTAGGATCAAACTTGGCTTCCATTCCCCTGTTGTATTATGACCCTTAGAGAATTCTCACTTCTGATGAATTTAACACTACTGTGTTGTACACATTTGTCTTTGGAATGACTTATATAACAGTGAGCAGAGGGCAGCCGCACTTGCCAGTAGTGGCATGAACCTTGTCCTTGTTATACTACACCTATGTTGGAAATTTGAAGCCAGTCGAATATTCTCTCAATCTCGAGTTATACATGAAAGAAAAAATATAGCTGAAAATTATATTATAGGGCTTAGTAAATTCATGAAACTTCAGAAGGCCAGGTTATATTGGTACATGAAATACCTGCAGCTCTACTGCTAACTGTTGTTTACTATAAGCAACTTGTAAGAATGGTCCCGGTTCATGACTCACCACCACTACCTATGAAGGCTGAGGGACTGATCACAAAATTGCTTTTACGCATCTGTGGTATCCAGTGCTATATTAGCCTGTATTCGACTGATTAAGTTGGCCGTGCAGGCGATACGTTTTTACAATGAAGATACCTGAATGTGGCAGACGAGTCTCAGCAACTGGTAGGTGTTATATACCATTATTATGTGATCACCACCAGTGTAAACGCTGATCACTACCACTGTGTGCTAGCTCGAAGGAAAGTCAATTTTTATATGACTGATCGGGTAACACTAAACCCATAAGGGTAACAGCAGCATGAGGAATGGGAGGCAGTTAGGGATGATGAGAGAAAAGTAGAGAGAGGAGCTCCAATCCCTCAGATCAGGAGCCTTTTACCAGCATCAAGGCGCTTTCTTGTCATTTCCCTGTTGAAGTAACACACCCAGCCATGGTTATCTCCTGCGGTAATGCAGTCTTCCGTTATGAGTATTTTTCTTTCACGTGTACTGCAACACTGTGTTGCAGCTGCAGTTACAATTATTGTTATGAACGATGGAAAACACATTTCTGTATGAGCCTAATACGTGTAATTACGCACCATTTGTAATTAAGAAAATGGTCCTCTTATGTATTTTGATAGTTTTAGACATTTACCTTATATGTTTGGTATTTATTGTACCACAAACCACCACACTGCTCTTTGTGTGAATTTTCTGCCATTATATAATCTTTAAAAGTGAAAACAGGAAAAAACTGACCGCTTAGGTTTTTTCTTTCTATTTTCACTGTGGTATTTTTAGATGTTTGCAATCACGCGTTTTGTTGTGATTTCTTCCACACACACACACACACACACACACACACACACACACACACACACGTGTGTGATCTTTGTAGGATTGGGTGGTCCTGTGGTGTGGGTTAGAGCGTTGTGTGATTTTCGCTTACCATGAGGCGGGCCAAAACAACATGGGTTGGAGCCCTCGGCTAGTCGGAGTGTTCTTATTAATTAAATGCCACTAGTTTGTGGTTACAATACAATATATATATATATATATATATATTATATATATATATATATATATATATATATATATATATATATATATATATATATATATATATTATTTTTTTTTTCAACAAGTCGGCCGTCTCCCACCGAGGCAGGGTGACCCAAAAAAGAAAGAAAATCCCCAAAAAGAAAATACTTTCATCATCATTCAACACTTTCACTACACACATTATCACTGTTTTTGCAGAGGTGCTCAGAATACAACAGTTTAGAAGCATATACGTATAAAGATACACAACATATCCCTCCAAACTGCCAATATATATATATATATATATATATATTTGTATCATCATTGTTGTGAATATTACATAACAATTAAAATATTAATATTTTCTTGCAGATCATTTATTTTTCCTTGATTTCCAAACACAAATACTAGTAGAAATATGTTGAAGGAACAAAGAAGCTTGAACAAAAAAAATTGCGGAAACTTTGACCATTCTCGTTGAGGAAAATATGAGAATGGTTGAGACTGAGAGTTGTCTGGTGGTTTCTACGACCACCTAAGTTTTGCGAGTTTATGAAACTCTGCTCTTACAGAGTTGATATAGGTGGCCCTGTCTGGCCCCGGGCCAACACCACGCTCGTGGCCATCCTCAACACCCTCAACAATGATGCTAAGGCTTTTGATTTAATAATTCAGTTATTTAGAAAACAGATTTGTGTTTGATGAATGTTTAAGTTATTGTGGTTCCACTATGTGCAAATGAACGTATCGACGCAGCTGCAAACGAAAAGGGGATTTAACTTTTTAACATGTTATGTCATAGTCAAAAGAGAAAATTTTTAGTCGTCGTTTGTATAGTGGACTTTTACAGTGTTTTCAGCTATGCCAGACACAGTATAAGATTACATGAGAATGAAGGGCATATATTACACTTTGTATCACACAATCTTACGACTGTATTATGATAACCAGTTCAGTACAGTCCTTAATCTTATGTCACAATTGTTCAGTCTTACGTGTATTAATGGTTGTACGAATTTGCTTCATGTTTCTTTTAACTTTTTATTTCAATTACTTCCCCATCTTTCTTCTCTCATTCTCGTCCTTCTTAATGTTAACCAACCTTCCATCTTCTTTTCCTTTCCCTTTTCTTCATCATTATCGTCCTCCTTTCTTTCCACAAGGTGAACGATTACCACACACACGTGCTTCTGTTAGTAGGCTCTACCGTTTATTACACACACCACACCCCTGACTGTTTCTTGCAACACTCTAGACTGCTTCTTGCCACACTCTAGACTGCTTCTTGCCACACTCTAGACTGCTTCTTGCCACACTCTAGACTGCTTCTTGCCACACTCTAGACTGCTTCTTGCCACACTCTAGACTGCTCTTGCCGCACTCTAGACTGCTTCTTGCACACTCTAGACTGCTTCTTGCCACACTCTAGACTGCTTCTTGCCACACTCTAGACTGCTTCTTGCCACACTCTAGACAGACTGCTTCTTGCCACACTCTAGACTGCTTCTTGCCACACTCTAGACTGCTTCTTGCCACACTCTAGACTGCTTCTTGCCACACTCTAGACTGCTTCTTGCCACACTCTAGACTGCTTCTTGCCACACTCTAGACTGCTTCTTGCCACTCTCTCGAACTCCGACACAGGACCAACGACACCACAGAAGGAATCATATTGCCATGATCCATGTCAGCTGATTTTTTTACGAGGGTAGCAATAACGTGGTGATGTGTGCTTCCAGAACGGGTACCAGGAGATGCTGGTGACCCCTCACCCTCTCTCACACACCATCGGTGACTTCTGGAGGATGGTGAAGGACTCTGGTGCCTCCATCATCATCATGCTGATACACAATGACGCTAATTTGGTGAGTGTGTGGTATTACCTGTTTCTAGTTATAGCTGTATTCCACCTTTTCTCACTTCAGCTGTTTTTTGCGGAAGATGTTTAGTTTTTAGAGGTTGATAGTAAAGGAATGAGTGACGGTTAAAGTGTTTCTTGTGTGTTCATTTTGTGTATTTCTTCTATTTCTAATGTGTTTCTTCTTTGTGTCCCCTTGTTCCCTTGTGTTTCCCCTGTGTGTTTCTTATGTGTGTGTTCCTTTTGTGTATATCTAATGTGTTTCAATGTGTTTGTGTGTTTCTTTTGTGTATTTCTAATGTGTTTCTTGTGTGTGTTCTTTCAGTGTTCCTTCAATGTTTTCCTTCTATGTTCCTTCATTGTGTTCCTTTAGTGTGTTCCTTTGGTGTGTTCCTTTAGTATGTTCCTTCATTGTGTTCCTTTAGTATGTTCCTTTGGTGTGTTCCTTTAGTATGTTCCTTCAGTGTGTTCCTTCAGTGTGTCCCTTCAGTGTGTTCCTTCGGAGTGTTTCCCCTGTTCCTTGTCTTGAGTAACACTTAATTGGTGGGAAACATTAGATATATTAACTTAGATAAAAGTTTTTAATACGTACAGTACTTCCCACCAACTCTTGGAACCTCATCTAACACTACACACACTGTCATGGAAGCCATATTTGCACTCTTTTCGCATAATGTTTTTTTCGAAGTTGATAAGGCATCTTATTCTGTAATTATGATATCTCTTTTCCTCTTGTTTAAAAACAAGATAATTTTTTAGTGTTTTTTCATTTTCTTCGTAATTATTTTTTCCATATATAATGTTATTCTGACCTCTCAGCCAGTCAGACTGTTTGTCCTAGATGCTCTAATCCATCCTGTTGACAGGAAATTTATATTTTCAGTGTACAGAAACTCAGTTAATGTATAGTCATACAAACACTGTTATTCCAGTGATGAGTCTAGGGTTAAAGGGAGTGTTTTCCCTTAAAATGTTCCGTAGAGCTTCGCGTATTTGTAACCCGGGGTATTTTGATAATGAAATTAATAAGATATTTAACATAGCCACAAAACTGAGATATTCTAGGGACTTTGTTGAGAAGGCGTTATTGGCTGCCAAGAAAACTTGTTATAGGACGTGCCTTCCAGGAAAACTAAATTAGTTTTGCCTTACATTGAAAATCTGGCTATTCTGTGTGGTGCTTCGAGGCATTTGTGGAGATAAAGAACGTTATCCATGAAGTCAAAAAGGGGAATGTATGAGAGTATTGTGGCACCAATACTTTTATATGGGTGTGAAACATGGGTTGTGAATGTTACAGCGAGGAGGAAGCTGGAGGCAAAATTTATGTCGCGTTTGACGGCAAAGTATGAGTTGAATATTACACAGAGAATTCGGAGCATGGAGATTAGGAAATGTGGAGTTACTAAGGGCTGAGGAGAGGTCGTTGAGTTCGTTTGAACATTTAGAGAGGATTGAGCAAAATAGGATGACTTGGAGGGTGCATAAATATGTAGTGGAGGGCAGGAGGGGTAGGGGGAGGCTTAAGAATGGTTGAAGGGATGGGGTAAAGAAGGTTTTGTGTGCAAGGGATTGGATATACAGTATGCATATGTGAGGCAAATGGTTTTTGAGAGTTAACGTGCTGTTGGAGTGAAAGCAAAACAACATTTATGAAAGGATTCAGGGAGATCTTTTCCCAGTAAAAACAGTAAAATGTATGAGAGTATAGTTATACCAACGATCTTATATGGGGGTGAAACAAAGGCGGTGAATGTTGCAACAAGGAAAAGGCTGGAGTCAGTGGAGATGTCGTGTCTGAGGGCAATGTGTGGTGTGAATATAATGCAGAAAATTCGTAGTTTGTAAATTAGGAGGAGGTTTGGGATTACCAAAATTATTATCCAGAGAGCTGAGGAGGGGTTGTTGAGATGGTTCGGACATGTAGAGAGAGTGGAACAAAATAGAATGATTTCGAGAATGTATAAATCTGTAGTGGAGGGAAGGCAGGGTAGAGGTCGGCCTAGGAAAGGTTGGATGGAGGAGGCAAATGAGGTTTTGTGTCCGAGGGGCTTGGACTTCTAGCAAGCATGTGTGAGCGTGTTAGATAGGAGCGAATGGAGACAAATGGTTTTCAGGACTTGACGTGCTGTTGGAGTGTAAGTACGGTAATATTTATGAAGGGATTCAGGGAGACCGGCAGGCGGGACTTGAGTCCTGGGGATGGGAAGTACATGTACAGTGCCAACACTCTGAAGGAGGGATGTTAATGTTGCGATTTTATAACTGTAGTGTAAGCACGCCTCTGGCAACACAGTGATGGAGTGAATGGTGGTGGGGGTTTGTCTTTTTTGGACTACCTTACCTTGGCGGGAAACGGCCAATGTTTTCAATATATAAAATAAAATATATGTTGTACGCAATAAGCCAAACTTGCCAAAGAGGCTGAACTCCCTAAAAATTTAAACTTTTTCAAAAAATTCTCTTGCAGAATGATAGCTATTTTTTTTTTCATTGACAGTGATATAAAGACTTATTTTTCTACCAAAACTTAGAAAACCCCTCCTAACCTCCCATAAACTAACCCAATTTTTTTTACCTAAATTTTGATATATATATATATATATATATATATATATATATATATATATATATATATATATATATATATATATATATATATATATATATATATATATATATATATATATATATATATAATACGTCAATTTAAATTTATTTAATATTCCTTGAAATCTATGATATTTTTTTTTCGTTATGCTCGGATTTGCTACCGCTGATTTATGGCAAAAAGAAATTTTCATTCTGCTTATTCGGTATGGGATACCCTGCTAAATAGGCCAAACACGCCAGTTCATCTTAATCGGCATGACATATATGGATAAACAGAAGGGTGGACGGGGGGAAAGAGACGCTAATAGCGGTCCGTAAATTGACAGCCCGACTCTCTACCGTCTCGTTTATCCATTGAATGTATGTATGTTACTGTATCTGTCAACCCAAGAAATTTTTCAGTATGCTCAAACTCCATGTATGTATGTACTTATATACAGTACTTTGGTTATTGTTGCATGTTGTTTGTTCAGGAACAGTTTCCCCGGTATTGGCCGCTTCCTGGGGAGGTCCTCTATCACTTTGTCAATACCAAGACCTGCATCTGTTTGAAGAATAGGAGCTCTCACACCTACCAAGACTACCTCTCAGAGCAGAAAGCTATGGAGGAAGTGGAGAATAGGAAGCTAGATAAAAGGCATCTGCAGAGAGAGCTGGAAATGGAGAGGAAGATTCAGCAAGCTTCGCAGATCCTACTTCACACGTCGCCGCCGCCGCAGCAGCAGCAGCAGCAGCAGGATCAGGAGGAGGAGGACGATGACGACAACGATGACGACCAGGAAGTGCAGCCTTGGCGCCGGTTATATGATGAGAAACAGCAACTCAATCATTCCCTAGAAAGGGATGGTCACCGGTGCCAGGCACTGAAACAGAAGTGGCATCATCGAAAGAAGAATATTGATTGGCACCTGAAATTGAACTCACTGCATTTGGACTGTCACAAAGATGATCAGCTGTCCCAGTCTTCTGATATTAGCAAGGAAGATTATTTCTCACAGTATTCCCTACAGCAGGAAAAGCAAAAGCATCATGATGATGATTACCAAAGTCATCACCAACAATACGCTCAACACCACAACATGAATGAGTTGCTGCTACACCACCAGAAGCTGCTAGGGCAGGGCAAGACCTATCAGTGGGAGAACAGTTATCAGCGGCAGTTTGCACAGCAACGCCAGAAGAACCCGTACTTCTACGTCAGTGACATCGTCATGCAAGTGGTAAGACCACTGCTGGTTAACCTTTGCTAAGTAGCTTAGTTGTAGTAGTAGAAATAACAGCATTTATAGTGGCACAGTTACGGTAAGTTGTAGTGCTTTGTTGTGAGTAAGATGACGCTACTGCTGCTAGTACTACTACTGTTATTACTACTACTCTTACTACTACTACTACTACTACTAATATTTCAGTAGATGCTGCTTGTTTAGTTACATTGTTAATAAAGAAGTAACAGCAGCACTAGTATTTGGTGAAGCAAGCAGTAACACCCCCAGTAGTGACTACAGTATTTGTAACCGTGTTGAAGCTGCAATGCCTGTATATTTTTACTTCATGTGCATCATGAACATGTTAAGATACAATGACCGTAGCAACATATGTATCGTTAGCGACAATGTTTATAGAGCGTATTGCTGCCACATTCTGATAAAGGTGTAGTAGTGGCAACCACGTTAGCAGTAGCATGACCGTTATGCTAGAACACTTCCTCACTAATGCCAGGAGACCCTCACACTAGTTTTAGGATGGCCATGCTAGTTCTAGCATGGCCACACTAGTTCTAGCATGGCCACACTAGTTCTAGCATGGCCACACTAGTTATAGGATGGTCACACTAGTTTCAGAATGGCCACACTAGTTATAGGATAGTCACACTAGTTACAGGACGGTCATACTAGTTATAGGATGGTCACATAGTCGTAAGGTGGCCACACTAGTTCTAGGATGGCCACAATAGGCTTCACAACACAGTATTGCCGCTAGTAACATTAATAACTCCACAGCAGTCAGTAACGGCAGGGGCAGCTTCACCTGTGTTCTAGGTAGCATATGTGCCTTCTAGTATATCCTGTTCTAGGTTGTGCTCACCTAGTTATGGTTGCAGGGATCGAGTCACAGCTCCTGGCCCCATGTGGGTGTACTGTATCCTGTTCTAGGTAGTATGTGTGCTGTATCCTGTTCTAGGTACTGTATCTTCTGCTGTATCCTGTTCTAGGTAGTGCGCGCGCTGTATCCTGTTCAAGGTACTGTATCTTCTGTATCTTGTTCGAAGTAGTGTGTCCTCTGCTGTATTTTGTTCTAGGTTGTGTGTGTCTGCTGTATTCTGTTCTAGGTTTGTGTCTGCTTTATTCTGCTCTAGTGTGTGTCTGCGGTATACTGTTCTAGGTTGTGTGTGTGGTGTATTCTGTTCTAGGTAGTGTATGTATTATTTTATAGGTTGTGCCAGTATCTTCCGTTTAGTGGACGGAGGATCGAGCCTTCATTATTTCAGTAACCCACTCAGGTTTAACTTCACATAATAATTTTCGTGATAACTCAAGTATACTTTGTGATTTAATTTTCCACTTTGTAGAGAAAAGTGCTGCATCACTTTTGTTTGTGTTGCAGGGAGGTAGAGGTGGCGGTGTGGTGCGTCACTACCACTACCAGTGGGACCAGGTGGCAGGGATGCACCACATGGGAATGATTGAGCTGGTGCACGCCGTCATGCATCGTCACCACACCGTCGGGGGACCCATCATCATACACTGCCAGTAAGTCTCAACTCATCTCCCTTAGTTGTAAAGTGTAACCTCTGGGGCGTGTGGTGAGTCGTCGTCTCTATTGTGGTGAGTCCCACTGGCCTGTGGCAAGTGTTTTGGGTCTGGGTAAGCCTTTTTTTTTTTTTTTTTTACTGGTTCCCAACTTTCCCGTGAAACATTGCTGCCAAATGGTGTTTTTTCAAGAGCTCTATGTTATTCAAAATTACCCAAGCAACACTTATAGTTGATGCATCTTAAGAAACCCTCGCATATTTCTAAAAAAATATGTTAAACTCTGTAATTCACAAAACTAAAATTTACTTCCCAGAATACTGAATTTTTTTATCTTAAGGTTGGGTCGTATTCTGACATAGGTTAATGCTGGCTTTCCTTCATTTTCGTATATGAGTACAGTGGTAATAATGCCAGCAGTAGCAGTTGTTGTGGTAGTAAAAGCAGAAGTAGCAATAACAGCAGCAGTAGTGGTAATAGTAGTAGGACATAATGAAGCTCACAACAACTGAAATTGGTCCTGCAAATTCATGCCTTGCGAAATGCCTTGTTGTACCTTAGTGTCGTAATGGGTACCTTAGCAGTAGTGTCGTAATAGGTACCTTAGTAGTAATATTGTAATGGGTACCTTGGTACTTATGCAGTCTTCATTAGGACTTACACCGAACACCTTTCAAGACTGACGGACTGATCACCTTAAACTTCTTTTGTCTTTCACCGTCTGCTTTATTATTCTCGCCATCGGACTGATGATGCTTTTACTGGCTGGCCAGATGTCTCCTCAGTAAAGCTACCCAAGTGTTGCACATGTGTCTTATTGATTTACGTCTCTGGTTCAGAAACCATTAGTGTATGATAACCGTTGTTTTTCTGGCAATTATCTGATAGCAGCTCACGAGCAGAGTTATGGTCGCCCTGCCCCGTCTTCAGTAATTTTTTCATCATGTATTTTTTTTTGTAAAAATTCTGATGGTTGCAGTATTTACTACATCGTATTTTAAGTCTTTCCTTTGGTCAACAACTCTGGGAAAAAAGATTTTCTATAATTCTTCGTCTTGTAACATCTTCCAACCAAGACATTTTTCCCTACTTACAACTCTTCGCATTTTTCTCCCAAACAAGTCTCTTTACCTATACCTGGAGTCTACCTGAGGGGTGTTCCTGGGGGGTCAACGCCCCCGCGGCCCAGTCCTTAACCAGGCCTCTCGGTGGATCAGGACTTGATCAATCAAGCTCTTACTGCTGTCCGCACGTAGTCCAACGTACGAACCACAGCCCGGCTGATCGAATACTGCTCGGGGTTTCTGTCCAGTTTTCCTTGAAGGCAGCCGGGGGTTTTTGGGAAATTCCCCCTTTGTTGGTGGGGAGACTGTTAAACAGTTTGGCCCCCCGGATATTTAAATTTTTTTTTTCTCCTAGGTATCTGGCGCCCCTCTTTTCACTGGTTGTATTTGTACCGTCTTTTTGCTTTCGTAGGGAGTGATGTTTGTTTTCCAACCCCTGTATCTACAATTTTTTTTAAATCTCTCTCTAATATTTCCCTTCTCTTATTTTGTTTGCTTTTTCATCCTTGATTCTTTCTCCCTTTGATTTTACTTTTTTTTTCCACACGCCAGAAGCAGTAACGTTTTATTCTGTCCTTTAAACAACTTGGAATTTTTTTGTTATTTTTTTTTAATTTTTGTACTAATAGTAAATTCTTAGGTTTTGGGTGCCCCCTGCTCTTCACCCCCTTCTGGTCTTTAGCTCTGAAAACTGCTTCAGCATTCTCAGTTCACTTCTGGGTGCGTGGCGGTGTGTTGTGTGTGGTTGTGTGTGTGTGTGTGTGTGGGGTGTGTGTGTGTGTTGGTGTGCGTGTGTGTGTGTGTGTGTGTGTTGTGTGTTTTGTGTGTGTGTGTGGTGTTGTTTTTGGGTTGGAAAGAGAGAGACCTATTAATATCTGCAAAAAAAAAATTTATTTGATTGTAAAAGAAAAAACGTGAAAATGTTTCAATACCACGTACTTTTTCGGCTCTACACCTTCGCGGTCCACCCCTAAACCCCATTATGTATCCAAAAAACTTTTTGACTACCCCCACGGGGATATGGGGTGCATAATAAAAATGTTCCAAACTTTTTGCATTTTACATGAAGTCTCGTTGTGTTGTTTATAAAGTACCATTGAGTTACGTAAAAATGAAAAAGTTGTGTTGTGGTGACCTTTAAATACCACTGAACACCAATACATGTAAGAAGGTTTTTTCAGAATGTCAACAAAGTACGCCTGAGAAATGCAAGCCTGTCAACGTGCAGCAACGAACGCAGTACGCAGAGATAAAAAATGCTAAAGGGAAGGGCAGGGTGTGAAGTATTGTTTCCACTGGTGTATTAATTTATCTTTTTTAAATTTTTCTGTTATATACTATGTCTCCCGTTTAAGCTGAATCGCAGAGTTTGATCTTTTGGCAAGGTTCACTTAACAATTAGCAAAACGAAAATTTGTTTTTGCAGTAAACGGGGAAAATCGATCGAGAGCAACGAGAAAATTGTACCTAGATTTATGCATTATTAAATATTTTTAAATTGACAAACGATATTTTTAAAATTTATTTTTATAATTATAATATTTTTAAATAAAATTTTATATAATATATTATATAATATATTATTATATTTTTTAAATATGCAAAACAACCCTCTGAAAGAATGGGAAAAATTTCCAAGCGTTTTCGTGACTCTCACATTATCAAGGAACTAGAAAGTAAAACATCAAGGAAGTAATAAAGGGTCGGCCAGCACCCCACACAGATCCCAAAACGGTTAAACACGTGACCCCCGGCACCAACTTGGATAGGTCCTTGCACAACTCCCCCCAAGCTATTCTACCCAAAAAATTTAAAAATTATTTGTCCGGTTTATTAATTTTCCCCAAAATTTTCTTTTAAATTAAAAAATGGATTTTTTAAATAAAAACAAAGGAAATTTTCCCTATTATTGTCAAAACTGCTTTTTTTAAAACAAGATTAAATTTTATCCTGGGGACCAAGCTTGCTTGATACTATTTTCTAAACTTTTTGAAAATCAATTGGGGGGTTTTTAAAATCTTTACATGAATAAAAGAGCTTTGGGAATTTTGCCGTTCTAATGTAATTATGTTTTTTAAAATTTAGTTCGAGATTTTACCAGTTTGCCGTAAAAACTTTATCGCAATTTACAAGGAATCTTATAGAAATCCATCCATTTTGGGGGGGAATTCTTTATCAAAAGTTTTTTTATGTATCAAGATTTTTGAATAAAATTTTAAAATTTTAAAAAGTTTAAAGAAAAAAAAGGAATCAACCAATTTTTCATGGAAAGGGGAAAACCAAAAAATTTTTTTTTGAAAAGGCGGTTCCCCTTTTTTTGGTTTTAAAAAGTGTTTTAGCAATTTTTAAAAGATTTATAAATTCTTTCTTGGGGTTTTTAAATCATTCCTATTTCATAAATTTTTGGATTTTTCCTATCTATGAATCAGGACAAAATTCGTAAAGTCCAAAAACATTGAGAGAAAACAACAGTTTGACTCTATCTTGATGAGGAAAAATAGTGGACATAGGAACAGTTATTTGAAATTTTCTGTAAATTTTAAATTTGAATTTATTATTACCCTTAATAATTAAAACAATAGAAAGGGAATGGTTATTTTCCTCAAATCAACAGTAAAGTTTATAGAAAAGGGCTAAGTATTTTAAATTTTTAGAAAAGGTGTTTTATCTAATTTTTTGGGGTAAAACACAAAATATCATCAACATTCGAACCATTTAGCTTATTGGGGGATTGTGTTTAAACAACCTTTTTTAAAAAATTCCTGTAAGGTTACTAAGAACAGGTGAAAGAGGATTTCCCTTGCCCTACCAAAAATTCGAGTGTAAAACTTACTTAAAAACAAATTTTGCATCAACAAGCAAATTTAATAGTTTAATGATAGTAGGAAGGAAAAGGAAAAACAAAATTAAAATTCCCAATTGCCCTCAAGTTCTTTAAGTCTTATATACCTTAAACAATAAAAAAATTTTTCGCCTTATAAAGCAACAAAATAAATGCAATATAATTTTGAAAGAAAAAGATTACCAAGAAAAAATGAATAATCTCTTAGATGATACGAAAAACCCATTCTAAACTTAGGAAAATCCCCTTAAAAAACCCTTAACAGCAATTTCAATAAAACAAAAAAACTTCTACTGAAAGGCAAAGAAAATTTGTCAAACAATTTATTCCCCTAATCCTCTTTCCTTTCAGTAGGACTAATAAAAACACAAAAAACCAGGGAATCCCGTAGACCAAATTTTTAGCTCCTAGGGTCAGTTTCATATAAAATTTTCCAAATGGCGTTTTATATTTAGCCCATTGTTGGCAAAATTTCTAAAATTTAATGTTAAAACAACATAGACTTGGTTTATAAATTAAACCCCTTTACTGATTTAAATGATTTTAAAATGGTTTGTTTTGTGTTATTCCTTTTTTACGAAGTTCCCGTTGTTATTTATTGTTTTTATTGAAGAACCGTTAACTATGATTTCCATTGCCCTTCCCACTATCATTTAATATTTAAAATTTGCATTGTGATGCAAAAATTTTTATTTATGATAAGTTTTACACTCAGAAAATTGGTTGGCAATGGGAAAAACCTCTTTCACCTGTTCTTTAACCTATACAGGAAAATTTTTTTAAAAAGGTTGTTTAACAAAAATCCTCCCAATAGAGCTAAATGGTTAATAGTTGATGATATTTTGTGTCTTTGCCAAAATGTAGTTACACCCCTTTTTTGGGAAAATTAAATACTTTAGCCCCTTCTATAAACTTTTCTGTTAGGGTTTTAAGAAAATAACCTTGCCTTTTCTAGTGTTTTTTAATTTTTAAAGGGGAAAAAATGAATTCAAATTTAAAATTTACAGAAACCTAAAATAATGTTTCCTTGTCACTATTATTCCTCGCATCAAGTTAGATCAACTGTCTGTTTTTTTCATCAATGTTTTTGAGAG